CAGGTCGTAGCGACGGAGGCTGAAGCGGGGCGGGAAGCGCCGAGAGGATGGTGCGGCACCAGAGTAGGAGCCTGGAGGAGGTGCTGGGGCTTCTGCCCCTGGGGGGGCTTGGAGCTTGACGGGCGCTCGAGCAGTGTCAGAAGCCGAGGTTGGACCAGGTGGCCCCCAGAGGTCCCTTGCAAACTGAATCTTTCAGTGATTCCGGGCTGCAGTGGTCAGTGCTTCCATCACCGTTAGACGTGCTCGGCACCCTTGGCGTGGGCCCTGGATGACGTATAGCTAGTAGGGAGGTTGACTTTTGGTCCCAAAGAGAGACATTCTCCTGTTGCGGTGGTGGGGATGTAGAGGCGTGGGGAAATGCATTGCTGGGGTACAGTGGATCACAAACTGGGTAGAGCCAAGTTTGAATGTCTGGTGACCTGTGTGATGGATGGATGTGCATCGGGAATGTTGCTGTTGGCCCCACAAATGGTTGTTTCTGGTGGGTCTGATTTGTCTGTAACGAGGAAGAGGTTAGCTTTAGCCGGGTATATGTAAACTGTCCCGTCTTCTCTTCAACAGTCAAATTTTATTACAGCCCTATCCTGAAAAGTGTCATGGCTAGCAATGCAGTGGATGATAAAACAAATTTTCCCATAAGAAGTTGTGTTATGTGGGGTAATGTGTGCAGGGATTTATGAAAGGCACACAACTTCAATACACAGAGGCATGATGCCGAAGATGGGATAGTAGAAATGGGCTTGTCAGCTGGGGTGGTTGCTGGTTTTTAGGAGTCTCCTTTAAAGAAATAATCACCGTTCTGAAAGACCTTTATCCCTTCATCAGTGAGATTGACCATCCAGTGTAAATCTATTGTAAGTGTTCTTGCAGCCTCTTTCTGGATGGTTACATTTTCCTCGTTGCCATCATCTTCCTCAGATGGTTCAGGAAAGATCAAGTCAATCCGGATTGAAGGATGGAAGATGGGGTCATGATGATTAGCAGAGCAGGATGTTAAAACACAGTGACGCAACTTGAAACAATGGCTAGAGAAGCAGTGGATAACGGGATGTTGCTCTAAGGAGCCACTCCAGCTCTTTTATCTGCAAGAGTAAAATTAGTGCTTTGATTTTTTTTCCCAGACCACCTCTATTGATTCGAGGCTGTCTCTTTAACTCTTGTTTTGCTTTGCTGCTTCTTCCCGCAGAGGGATTTTTAGATAGGAATTCTGTAATTATTGCTGTGTGGGAATACCGTTAGTGTAATTGTTAATTTCTTCTTACTAACGCAATTCTCTTGTACAGCTGAATGAGCTAGTGGTGGGAGACACCAACGGGAAACTCTATGTTTACAAGAATGATGACAGCAAACCCTGGGCTGTGCGATCTTGCCAAGGAATGGTCAGTTCTTGACAAAATTTTTAAATGGTTGGGCCTTTTGGTGTCTGTGCAGCCAGCTGTCCTTGACCACTGCCTAGGAATAGGTAGGCCAGAGGGGAATGGCAGCTAGAACTGGTTCTGATGCCTTTCATGTCGTTATGCAAGACCCTGCTTTTGCCCACAGCTAGCCCCATGGGCGAGAAGTGATGAGCAAAATACTGAACAAACACAGGAACTGGGCTTCTGTCCCACTTTGACCCTGCTCCTGTGCGCTGTGGATTTTGCCCCAGGGCTCTGGGCAGTTGTGTGGCAGATGTGTTTCTGTCCCTGACTCTGCTCTCTTTGACCTTGAAAAGGCTGTTTAGAGTTCAAGAGGTGGTTTATGAGAGAGGAGGGGGTAGGGCAGAGGCTTATCCCAAAGTGCTGTTTTGGGTTGCCTTCTCTCATGTATGGCCTTCTTTTCTCTTGCAGCTCACATGTGTTGGTGTGGGAGATGTGTGCAATAAAGGAAAGGTAAGAGCGGCCAAACTCTTCCCAGCTGTGTCTGTAGGGCACGTGGGAGGTGCTTAGGAGATTAGGGTCATGTCATATCCTGAGTGTGGAGGAGGACAGGTTGCAGGTGCTTTCTCTCCAGGATCTGCCCTTGCTCATAGAGTTTTAGCGCTACTGTTTTAAAACTGTCCTGTTTATGTATAATCAGTATCTGTCTGTGAGCCACATGCACGTTTTAGTGAGCAAAGAAATCCATCCTATCTTCAGAAAGCACTATTGATTTGCATGTCCCCCTGTGTGAGCGCCACAAGGCTTTGGTGGTTTGATGGTTGCTCCTTTTCCTCAGTGGCTTGTGCCCTGCTCTGTGCTGGTCCCTGCTGTGGGCTATGGCCCTTCTGTCACTTGGCTGTGTGCATTTAACGTCATCTAAACAAGACTGAGCCACAGAATAGTCTAGACTCCCAAGTAAATTCCACTGGGTCTAATAGGACTTTTTGCTGGATTGCTATTTCTGGGGGTTAAACCAGGACCACTGAGTCCAAAAGTCCCAGTTTAGGCACCCTGCCTAAAATACTGTAGCTATGTGTGCTCCAGTAGGGAGCAGAGCTGAAGTGAGCATTGAGAAAGCCACACATTGTTTGGGGGTTGCGTGCACACATCAGCTTGATATCCTAGTCTGACAAGGATGAACAAGAAGTTTCGACCCTGCAGTACCTGAGTAGTTTTTATGCTGGCCAAAAACCTTCTCCTGTTCCCTCTGTAGCAGTCATTGATGTTGATGGACCTACCCTCATATCCTCCCTCGCCCTGCTGTGGGACAGCTTCTGCAGTTTCTAAAAGAGGAAAAATCAAAAGGTTTTTCTCTTCCCTCTTAGAATCTCGTGGTGGCAGTGAGTGCAGAAGGCTGGTTTCATCTTTTTGACCTGACTTCTCCAACTTCAAAACACTCGGATGCTTCAGGCCACCATGAGTTGGCAGCAGCAGAAGAGCAGAAGCCAGTGTTCAAGCAGCACATTCCTGCCAACACCAAGGTCATGCTGATCAGTGACATTGGTGAGCCGGGAAGCTGGTGTGGGAGTGCAGGGTGAGGGATTTTGTGGGTATGAGGTGGTGGGGGAGAGAGAGAGAAAGCGCGCATGTGTGGGACTCACAGAAAGAAATTACTATCTTGCTGAAACAGGTGCTCTAACAAACCACAGCCAAGTCATGGAGGAGAGAAGCAAGAACTCCAGGAATTTTCCTGAAGTGCACGTTCTCATTACAGGATTGGGATCCTCAGGGATGCTACCTGATGGAAATGAGCACAGTGGTTTCTGAATGTTGGGGGTCTTGGGGCTATGAAAGCCTGAGAGCCCATCTGTCGTCTTCTTGTATTCCCTGCAGATGGAGATGGGAAGTGTGAGTTGGTGGTGGGTTACACTGACAGGGTGGTACGTGCCTTCCGCTGGGAGGACTTGTCGGACAATTCAGACCATGTCTCTGGGCAGCTGCTCCTGTTGAAGAAATGGCTGCTAGAAGGTCAGGTAAGGAAACAGGATATTCGGAGCAGAACTTGTCATACAGTCTTCAAGAGGTGGCTCTCCCAAGGGAAGAAGCGGAAAATCTCAGTCCTATGACAAAGCAATTGTCGTGTTGATGGCTTGAAAGGAGATTTGCCCAGTGGTTTTCCTATACACGTGGAGCAGCTGGTGGGTTGGTCTGGGAAACAGTCAGTTGCTCTCACCCAGCTAGAGAGCATTAATGGAAAATACTAGCGTGTTCTTAAGTGGCTTTTGGTAGGGAAACACAACCTTTCACTGTAACTTGGACATTTTGCTTCTAGCTGAATTTGTTCAGCTCCTGCTCAGCTCTATCAGAAGATCTGACATATTCAAGTTTAGGTACAAGGAGCACAGTGAACCCTTCTGAGGTGTTTAAAGTTCTCAGTTCGACTCTATCCATGTTTTGCCTCTGCCAGTGTAGGTGGACAGCCTCTCTGTGAACCCAGGCCCTGATGGCTCACCGGAGATGATGGTGTCTCAGCCAGGCTGCGGTTATGCGATTCTGCTGTGCACCTGGGACTCCGAGCAGCAGGCCACGACAGAGGGAAGAGACAACTCTGCCCCGAGCAGGTGAAGAGCATTACTGCATGGGATAGATGAGGAGAGTCCGCTGTGGATGCCCGTCACAAGGGGGCACCGCCACACCT